GAGCTGGACCAGCCTCTGGGGGGGGGGGCTCTGGACACCGAGGGCACGACAGGTTCATGAAGGGCACAGCGAGGGGCGCGCGCGCGCGTTAGGATGGAATGGGCAGGTACCGTTCTCGAGACTTCGGGGGGGGGGGGGGCAGAATTGGACCGCCTCCGCCGCCTGCCCGCCCAGCCCTCCGCAGCGAGGGGAGGACGGAGGGGCTGGGCGGGGTGGGGCGGGGGCGTGCGGCAGGGCGGGGCGGGCGGGCGGAGAGCAGCGCAAGGGAGGGGGAGGGAGGTGGGGGGGGGTATGGGAAGGGCCAAGACGCCCTCCCCGCCCGCAAGCCGTCTCGCTCACTCCCACCCGCTCTCCCAACACATACGTAGCACCCGAGCCTGGCCCGAGCCTCAGCGTATTCAGCAGTCGTCTTTGCATGGGCAGCTACTGGGGGCGCATCCGCCGCCGCCGCCGCCGCCGCCTCCGCCGCCGCCCCCGCCGCCCGCCGCCGCCGCCGCGCTGCCGCCGCTGAGGGTACGAGAGGGGCGAGGTGGAAGGGGAGTTGGAGGGGAGAGGCGGAGACAGTTGAAGCTGGAAGATCCCCGGGTCAACGACAGAGGTGGACACTGACACGCTGGCGCATCGGCAGGACTCAAGGCCTGCTGAACTTCGCGACCACAGAGGTTGTCTGGCATCTGCGGTGTGGAGCCCACTTCCTAGACAGGAAGTTGGTCGGCGAGGCCCTCCGACTTCGGCACAGCCTGCGTGGCCCATAGATCGCGCTAATAGAGCTGGGCCTTCCCATCTCTAGTGGAATCGTCTCCTCCTCCTCCTCCTCCTCCTCCTCCTCCTCCTCCTCCTCCTCCTGCTCCTCCTCCTCCTCCCCCATCACCCTCCTCAAATCATGCTCATATGACCAGCATCATCATAACCGTGAGCTCCATCAGTATGCAGCCTCCATTCGCGACACAACAATCAACATAATCAGCATCAGCAGCAGCATCATCATCGTCATCGTCATCATCATCATCATCATCAGCAGCAGCATCATCATCATTATCGTCACCAGCATCATCGCCACCATCATGAGAAAGGCATCATCAACATCAACATCATCATCATCATCATCGCCATCATCATGAGATAGGCATCATCAACATCATCATCAGCATCGTCACCAGCATCACAATTATCATCACCATCATCATCATCGTCGTCGTCACCATCAGCAGCCTCATCACAGTCATCAGCAGCAGCAGCATCCTCATCACCATCACCACCGTACAATATCATCCACCACTCATCAACACCACCACAACCACACATGACCATCATGATCACCCGCCCACCTATCATCATCCACCACCACCATCCTCGTCGGACATCAATCGCTATCATCGTCGTCGTCATGGCTGGCATCATCCTCACCATCATCAACAGCATCGTCATCATCATCATCATCATCATCATCAGCGCCATACTCAGCGTCGTTATCATAATCATCGTAGATCAAAAATCACCATGACCATCGTCAACACCATCACACTCACCATCACAATCACCATCATCATCATCAGCATCATCATAATCATCATCAGCAGCAGTATCACAACCACCATCATCATCATCATCATCATCATCATCATCATCCGTCTCAGCAGCAGCATCATCAGCGGCGTTATCATCAGTATCTTCATACTCCTCCTCACCATCATCATGATCAGCAGCACCATCACCATCGCCATCATCATCATCATCATCATCATCGTCATCAACATCACCATTATTATCAGCATCACCATCAGCATCATCATCATCACAATCATCATCATCATGGTCATCATCGGCAGCCGCATCAGTAGCATCACCATCACCATCACCATCATCATCATAATCATCTTCGCTACCATCATAAAAGTCATAATCATCACCATCATCCTCATCCTCATCCTCATCACCGTCACCATCACCATCACCATCAGGATCATGTTCAGCGTCACCGTCACCAGTTATATCATTATCATCACCATCACAAACACCACAATCATCAGCAACATCGTCAGCATCAGCTTCCTCTTCATCACCTTCCTCATCCTCATCCTCATCCTCATCCTCATCCTCATCCTCCTCAGCCTCATCCTCATCATCATCACCATCACCATCATCCTCATCCTCATCATCACCATCATCCTCAAAATCATCCTCGTCCTCATCCTCATCATCATCGTCCGCATCCTCATCCTCCTCCAATTCCTCTGCATCGTCATCACGATCATCATAAGCATCATCACTATCACCATCACCGCACCAGCACCAGCATCATCATCACCATCATCAACATCCGCATCAGCAAAACCATCAGCGTCAGCAGCCGCATCAGCAGCATCTTCATCATCACCACCATCATCATCACCACCATCATCAGCATCGTCATCACCATCATAAGCATCAGCAAAACTATGCATCAGCATCAGCATCATCATCATCACACTCATCATCGTCATCAGAATCCTCCTCCTCATCAATAGCATCATCTTCATCATCATCCTCATTCACATCATCATCAGCATCATCGTCACCATCATCAGCATCACAATCACCACCACCACCGTCACCATCAACAGCATCATATTCAACATCATCAGCATCGTCATCATCATCATCACCATCGTCACCATCATCATCAGCAGCATCAGCATCAGCACCAGCAGAAGCATCAGCATCATCGTCAGCATCATCATCACCACCACCACCACCACCATCGTCCTCATCACCACCACCACCATCATCATTATCAGCAGCAGCATCAACAGCACCATCATCACCATCATCATCATCAGCAGCAGCATCAGCATCAGCATCAGCGTCAGCATCAGCATCAGCAGACGAGTAGCAGGAGGAAGAAGAGGAGGAGGAGGAGGAGGGGCAGCAGCAGCAGGAGCACATGGAGGGGATGGGGAGGGGAGGGGACGGGAAGGGAGAGCAAGGGAGGAGACATCGAGGCCGCGGATACTGCAGTTCTGTTCTGCGGGAGGTGCGTGTGTACGGGGGCGCCGCGTGCCGACGAGGCTCCACGCACCCTCCCTCGTCAAGACTTGACGAGGGTATGGGAGGGAGTGTTGCCTGGCATTGGGGGATAAACGCTCTCGCCCCCGTGGCCCCTCCGTTCCCGAGGTCCGCCATCCCCCTCGGTTGCTTCTTGCTTTTGAGCATGCTGGGGAACTTTGAGCTGGCCTGGGGAGAAATCTGCTCGGGTAGGGCCGGCAACCGACCTGGAGCATTGAGCGGCTCAGCGATCGAGGGGAGGGGGGGTGAGGAGAAGGAGGGAGGATGAAACAGGGAGGAGGAGGAGGAGGAGGAGGAGAAGGAGGATGAAGGAGGGAGGAGGAGGAGGAGGAGGAGGAGGAGGAGGAGGAGGAGGAGGAGAAGGATGAAGGAGGGAGGAGGAGGAGGAGGAGGAGGAGGAGGAGGAACGGGGGATGGAGGAGGAGCAAGAAGGTCGGGCGCCGCTGGCCTCCTCACTCCGGCACTCCAGCCAGGACTGCGTCCGCCACGAAGGCGCGCCTCGCGGGCGGGAGCGCGCGCCGGAGGGTACCCGCCGCTGCCGCGTCCTCCCGTCCACTCCTGCCCCTGCTGGAGGAAGGACCGCGCCAGAGCGTGCCCGTGGAGCGGTCCCCCTTTCAGGGGGACGTAAGACCTGGGTACAGGGGACTCGGAAATCCCCGACGAGCTCGTCAAAAAAATGACGAGGCCGATCCTGCATTTTGACGAGGCCTCCTGCTGCAGACATCCCACGAAACTCCTCCTCGTCAAAATCCGAGGCGCGGTCGTCAAAAAACGATGGCGAACCCGAGTCCTGGCAAACCCGGGTCTTACGCTCCCCCGACCCTTGCGCCGATCCAGCAAACCGGTGCGGCGCCGTGGCAAAAACTACATGCTGCGCATCCTCGGTGGACCCTCCTAGCGGCGCGACGGCGGAAACGGGGGGGGTGAGGAGGTGACGGTGGTACCCACCTTTATCGCGTTGCCGCTCTGGGGGAACTCGATGCACCAGGGCGGTGGGTGGGTTGCTCCGAAACGGCCAATCGCCCGAACCCAACTTGCATCGGACGTTGGGAGGTTCAGGGGGATACCATTACGTGTTGGCACACGGAAGCGCCCTACTTACTGTCGGCGCGATGGCGGAAAAAATAAGGAGGATGTGACGGTGATACCCCCATTCTTCGGGCGGCAGTTCCGGGCGCCCTGGCCCAGGGCCCCTGCCACTCCAAGGAACTCGATGCCCCCCCCCCCCGCGCCACGGGAGTGAGACAACGAGGCAAAACGGGCGGGAAGGATCCACCGCCCCACCTCGTCCCTTCTCCCCCCCTTTTCCGCAGCATCTTCGCCGCGCTCGCCACCGCGCGCGCGCAGAGGCCAAGCGGCGCGGTCTCGAGCCCCCCCCCCCCCCTGCCGCACCGGACCCCCGCCCCCGCCCGCGGCGCCTGAGCGGGGCCCCCCGGAGGCCGGGGCGGGCGCCCTCGCCGCGGAGGAGCCCGCCGGAGGGCGGGGTTGCAAGACCATCGCGGAAGCGCGCCACGCAGCCGCTCGCTCGGAGCCCCCCCTTGCTCGGAGGGCCGCCGCCGGGCCCCGCCCGGGACTTGTCCCAAGGTGAACCGTCGACGGCTCTCGAGCAGGGAAGCACTCCGAGCGGACGCCCGATGTCGGGGACTCCTCCTCCAGCTGCTGCCGTCCGTCCTGCTCATCCATCCTCCTCGGGGAAGGCCTCCTCCTCCTCCTCCTCCACCTCCTCCTCTTTCTCCTCAGGCTCCTCTTCCTCCTGGTCCTGCTCCTGCTCCTCCTCCTCCTCCTTCTCCTCCTCCTCCTGCTCCTCCTCCTGTTCCTCCTCCTCCTCCTCCTCATCCTCATCCTTCTCCTCCTCGGTGCCCTCACCAAAATGCGGCCGGTGCCGCCTCGTCCGGCGGCAGAAATCTGCGCTTTCCAACGAAGCCGGGACCCGTCGCTGATCCACGCCCCCTTGATCCATATTTGCGATTGCCCGAGGAGGGGCGCGCCCGACCCTGACAGCGCCAGGCAGGCGTACATGCCCCCCACCAAAACAGAAGAAGCGAACTCCGCCACCGGCGCCGCCGCCCCCGCCCTCGTCGCGCGCCCTCTCTCGGCGTCCCAGCTGCCCGCTCCCGCCGCGGAGATGCTCGCGTCACGGGCGCCACCACCTGCTACAGGACCAGCTCGGCCCTGGGAGCGGAAGGCGGCGGCGGCATCGCTGCCGCGGCCGCCGTGAGCTCCGCGCCGGTGCAATACCCGTACGTGCTGGCCTCGCTGCACACCAGCCACGGGTCCCCGGTCCTCTTGCGCCACGTCGTCAGCATGTCCTGCAGCTCACTCATCACGCGCTCGTGGCCGCCTCGCCGTGCGAGGTTGACCTGCTGCCTCGGGTCCGTGCGCAGGTCGAAGAGCTCCCACTCCGGGCGGTGCAGGTAGGCGTGGAAGTCGTACACCCACCCCGTGGGCTCCCCGGCGCTGCCGTTGCGCTGCAGCTCCCTCCAGGTCCTCGTCGCGTACACGTCCTCCAGCACGGGGTAGGAGGCGCCGTGCACCAGGTTGTGCACCAGCCGGTACCGGTCGGTCACCACGGACCGCATGGGGTAGTAGGCGTAGAGGCTGTGGAAGCTGTGGGAGCCGAAGGCGGCGTTCCTCCAGGCCGGGGGCGGCGCCCGCCTGCCGAGGAGCGGCAGCAGGGACGAGCCGGAGTACTCGCCGACGCCCGGGGAGGCGCCCTCGATGCCGGCCCACGACAGCATCGTGGGCACGAAGTCCAGCGAGGAGACCACCGCCGAGGAGCGCGTGCCCCCCGCAGGGAAGCCCGGCGCGGCGACCACCAGGGGCTCGGCCTGCCCCTGCTCGTACAGGTTCGTCTTCGCAGACGGGAGCGGGCTCCCGTTGTCGGAGAAGAAGAGCACGAGAGTGTCATTCGTGTGCCCCGACGACTCCAGCTCGTCCAGGATGAGGCCGATGCCCTGGTCCATCCGATTCACGGATGTGCACTGCGCAGCTATGTCCAGCCTCACCGCCTCGCTGTCTGGAAGGAACCACGGGACGGGGACCTCATCGGCAGAGAACCATCGCGGCGACCAGTCAGGTATAGACCCCTGGCCAGGCAGGCCGCTGCCAAACTTCTCGCAGAAGCTGCCCAGCGCACCCTCGAAGGCGCACCGGTGGCCGTCGCCAAAGCCAACATATAAGAAGAAAGGCCTCTCGGGCTCGATCGCAGTCAGGAACTGCCTCGCCGCGAGCTTCATATGGGTGATGTTGCGAGAGACGACAGAGTAGGCCTCTGGTGAGCGCTCAGAGAACTCGCAGATGTCGCTGCGGGGCGAGGGGCAGATTTCCCCGACACCGCCGGGGGGGATCGCACCGGCCCAGCAATGCTCCGCGGTCAGGCCGTACGTGAAGTCGTACGCCTGGACGGGCCCGACGTGGTACTTGCCGATGATCCCCGTCTTGTAGCCTGCCCGGTTCAGCAAGTTTGGGATACCCGCGACGCCCGCGAGCGACTGGAAATTCCCGGGCGCCTGGCTCAGCCCGTACATGCCGTTCTGGTGGCTCGGGAGCCCGCTCAGTATGGCTCGGCTGCGCGCGAGAGCGACCCCAGGCACTCGAGAAGGGGATCGACGACAGGATTGATTGGCCCAAAATTGATTCTCCCGTCGGAGCTGCGACATTGCGTGAAATGCTCCATACATCCACGGAACATTGTACGCACGGCTCGCGGATTTGACGAACCAGAAATTCTGGGGCGAATCAATTCTCTAGCGGCCTTCGGCAGGAGAGCCCAGAATCGATTCGAAAAGTCCAATCGGCGATCGCAATGAATCGGATCGGCGGAAACCGGCAGCCAAGCCGGGAGGAGCCGAACAGGCGGGCGTCGGCAGAGCAGCCAGGCCTCATCGAGACATCGGAGCCCGAAGCGGAGTCCGAAGCCACACCGCATCGCATCCGAAGTCCACCGAGCTCGGCTCGAGTCGGATCGGGGGGGTCGAAACGAGCCCTGCCTTCGGTGCACGGCTTGCCGACCACTGCCCGAGCTGCGGCAGCGGCGGGCCGCGTGCCCGGGCCCCCCCCGCCCCCCCCGGCGGGGGTGCCCCCCCGAAGGCGGCGCACACCCGAGAGCCGAGGACCAGCGCAGGCAGGCCCGAGCCAGCCCGAGCTGCGAAGGACGGGCCTGCTGTCCACCACCACCACCACAACCACAAGTTGGAGGGGGGGGAGGGGGTGGAGGAGGAGGAGGAGGAGGACCAGTGCAAACCCAAGAGTCGTCAACGATGCTGGAATCAACCCTCTCTCCAAGCTGCCTCTTCAGAGGCCCCTGCAACGGTTCATTTCCATTGAGGGAACCGCCTCGTTGGAAGACTACCGTTTGAAAATCCTGAAGCATGCCAAAACAGGGCTCTCGGGATTTCAACGCCACGTATCGACCTGGCTGGTGCGTCTTGACGATCCGGAATCGTGCCAGAACGCCATGTTTGGGACTTCGACACCGCGAACCAGCATAAATGTTGCACCTGCATATAATCCTGAATCCGCCCAAAACAAGTTCTGCTACGTTGATCATGGGAATCCGTGAAACTCTTGCGAATTTTGAAAACGAATCTGCGCGGCGCTAAAGCGAGAGCCACCTTTTGGAAAAGAACCTCCCTCAATCCGTGAAGCTCTTGCGCATTTTGAAAACGAATGTGCGCTGCGCTACAGCGAGAGCCACCTTTCGAAAACCACCCGCCCTTAATCCGTGAAACTTTTGCAAAGTTTGAAAACGAATGTGCGCCGCGCTAAAACGAGAGCCACATGTTGAAAACCACCCGCCCCCCATCCGTGAAAATCTTGCAAATTCTGCAAACGAATGTGCGGGGCGCTGAAGCGAGAGCCACCTTTTGAAGACCACCCGCCCTCAATCCGTGAAACTCTGCAAACTCTGAATACGAATGTGCGCGACGCTAAAACGAGAACCACAGTTTGAAAACCACCCGCCCTCAATGCGTGGAACTCTCGCAAATTGTGAAAACGAGTGCGCGCGACGCTGAGGCGACAGCCACACCCGCCCTCAATTCTTGAAGCTCTTGCAAATTTTGAAAGCGAATGTGCGCGACGCTGAGGCGAGAGCCATATTTTGAAAACCACCCGTCCTCAATTTGTGAAACTTCTGTCACCCTTAAAGCTTCATGATCATAAATTGTCGGGGAATCTCAGTCGGAACGCCCGGCCCACCCTAAAAGTGGTCTCGGGGTGCGACAGGGAGGAGTTTTCTATAAGGAGAAGGAATGGAGGCGGAGGCGGAGGAGGAGGAGAAGCAGGAGGAGGAGGGAGGAGGTGGAGGAGCCCGTTCGTTTGCTCGGGTCGGTCACGCGCGTGACCGGGAGGGGGGGTGTCGTCGCGCCGGTCACGCCACGGCGGGGATGCGCCTGTGGTGCCGCAACATGCCCGTAAGCACTGCAATGCGCCTGCGGAACACAATCGCCTGCGACCCAAAAGTCACGACGCGCTTGTGACCAGCGCCACACAAGCTTGCGATGCGATCAACGCGACGTGCCTGTGAACACCACACAGGGCTTTTGAAGAGCACAGCGTCCGTGAACACCACAGCGCCTGTGAACATCAAAGCGACTGTGAACACAGCGCCTGCGAACACTACAGCACCTGGAAGTACCACATCGCTTGTGCACATTACACAGCCAGAACAGGCCACAGCGCATGTGAACACCACGACGCCTGTGAACACAGCGAGCGCGAGAACCGCAGAGCCTGGGATCCGGCGGCAGTGCGCAAGCACTAGCATAAGCAACAGCAGTAGCAGCAGTCGAAATAGTAGTGGCAGCAGTAGCAGTAGTAGCAGTAGCCGTAGCAGTATCAGTAGTAGTAGTAGTAGTAGTAGTAGTAGTAGTAGTAGTAGTAGTAGTAGTAGTAGTAGTAGTAGTAGTAGTAGTAGTAGTAGTAGTAGTAGTAGTAGTAGTAGTAGTAGTAGTAGTAGTAGTAGTAGTAGTAGTAGTAGTAGTAGTAGTACTAGTAGTACTAGTAGTACTAGTACTAGTACTAGTAGTAGTAGTAGTAGTAGTAGTAGTAGTAGTAGTAGTAGTAGTAGAAGTAATCGTCGAAAATGTAGTAGTAGTAGTAGTAGTAATAATGATAGAAGTAGTAGTAGCCGTAGTTGCAGTAGTAAAATTCGTAGTGGTAGTTGTGATAGTAGAAGTAGAAGTAGCAGCAGCAGCAGCAGCAGCAGCAGTAGTAGTAGTAGTAGTAGTAGTAGTAGCAATAACAGTTGCAGTAGTAATAGTAGTAGCAGTAGGAGTAGTGCTAGTAACGATAAAAGATATAGTCGTACGAGTAGAAGTCGTAAGAGTGATAGTAGTAATAGTAGTAGTAGCAATAGTAGAAGTAGTACTACTACTAGTCGTAGTTGTAGCAGTAGTAGTAGTTGCTGTTGTCGTTGTACTAGTAGTAGTGTGCAGTAGTATTCGAAATAATAATAGTAGTTGTACTCGTAGTACTAGTAATAGTAGTAGTAGTAGTAGTAGTAGTAGTGGTAGTAGTAGTAGTAGTAGTGGTAGAAATAGTAGTGCTGTCAATAGTAGTAGTGATAGTAGTAGTAGTAGTAGTAGTAGTAGTAGTCGTAGTAGTAGTCGTAGTAGTAGTGGTAGTAGTAGTAGTAGTAGTAGTAGAAGTAGTGGTGGTAGTAGTAGTAGTAATACAAGTATTAGCCGTAGTACTAGTAGTAGTAGAAGCAATACTCGTAGCAGGAATCGAATTCATGGTAGTAGCAATGGTTTGTAATAGTAGTCGTAGTAGTAGAAATACTAGTAATAGTGGTGGTGGTAGTAGTAGTAGTAGTGGTAGTGGTAGCAGTAGTAGTCGTAGCCGTAGTAGTAGTAGTAGCAGAAGTAGTAGTAGTAGTAATAACAGTTGCAGTAGTAATAGTAGTAGCAGTAGTAGTCGTAGTAGTAGTAGTAGCAGCAGCAGCAGCAGTAGTAGTAGTAGTAGTAGTAGTAGTAGTAGTAAGTAGTAGTAGTAGTAGTAGTAGTATAGTAGTAGTAGTAGTAGTAGTAGTAGTAGTAGTAGTAGGTGGTGGTGGTGGTGGTGGTGTGGGGTGGTGGTGGTGGTGGTGTGGTGGTGGTGGTGGTGGGTGGTGGTGTGGTGTGGTGGTGGTAGGTAGTAGTAGTAGTAGTAGTAGTAGTAGTAGTAGTAGTTAGTAGTATAGTAGTAGTAGTAAGTAGTAGTAGTAGTAGTAGTAGTAGTAGTAGTAGTAGTAGTAGTAAGTAGTATAGTAGTAAGTAGTAGTAGTAGTAGTAGTAGTAGTAGTAAGTAGTAGTAGTAGTTAGTAGTTAGTAGTATAGTAGTAGTAGTAGTAGTAGTAGTAGTAGTAGTAGTAGTAGTAGTAGTAGTAGTAGTAGTAGTAGTAGTAGTAGTAGTAGTAGTAGTAGTAGTAGTAGTAGTAGTAGTAGTAGCAGTAGTAGTAGTAGTAGTAGCAGTAGCGGCGGTAGTAGTAGTAGTAGTAGTAGTAGGAGTAGTAGTAGTAGTAGTAGTAGTAGTAGTAGTAGTAGTAGTAGTAGTAGTAGAGCGATCCGGGGGGTGGTGGCCAGAGTGGCCCTTAGAGGCCTCTCAGACGCGTTCCAGATGCCGTTGCGCAGGCCCCTCAGAAGCCTCTCAGAGGCCTCTCAGAGGGTTTTGAGAGGCCCCTCAGAGGCCTCTCAGAAGCCTCTCAAAGGCAGAGGCGTCTCAGATGCCTCTCAGAGGCGTCTCAAAGGCCTCTCAGAGGCCTCTCAAAAGTTTCTCTAGCGCCTCTCAGAATCCCCTCAGAGGCCTCTCAAGGGCCTCTTAGAGGCCTCTCAGAGGCCCCTCAGAAGCTTCTAAGAGGCCTTTTCAGAAGCCTTTGAGAGGCCCCTTCAGAGGCCTCTCAGGAGCCTCTCAGAAGCCTTTCACAAGCCCTCGCAGAGGCTCTCAGAGGCGTCCCAGACGCTTTTTCAGAGGCCTCTCAGAGGCTCTTCAGAGGCCTCTCAGAGGCTCCTCAGAAGCCTCTCTGCCCCCTCTGTCCGTCGTCGTCGTCACGGCAGGAAGGGGATGGGGGAGGGGAGGAGGAGGGGCGCGTCCAGGAGCAGGGGGGAATGGTAAGTGTGTTGCTCCCTCCCTGGCTCCCGCCCCCCCCGGAGGAATGTAGTAGTATGTAGTACTAGGTGCTAGTGGGTAGTAGTCGGCAGTAGCAGGTAATACTAATAGGTAGTAGTTGATAGTACTAGGTAGTAGTAGGTAGTAGTCCATAGGAGCAGGTAGTAGTAGATAGTAGTAGGCAGTCGTAGTAGGTCGTAGCAGGTAGTGGATAGGCAGTAGCCGTAGTAGGTAGTAGCAGGCAGTAGTAGGTAGCAGTAGGTAGTAATAGGTAGTAGTAGGTAGTAGTAGGTAGTAATGGGTGATGGTAGGTGGTAGCAGGTGGTAGCACGTAGTACTCGATAGTGGTAAGTAGTAGCAGGTAGAAGTGAGAAATAGTAGGTAGTAGGAGGTAGTGGTAGGTGGTAGCTGTTAGAAGCAGGTAGCAGTAGGTAGTTGTAGGTTGTAGCAAGTAGTACTAGTAATAGGTAGTTGTAGGTAGTAGCAGGTAGTAGTAGGTACCAGTAACCAGTAGTAGGTAGTGGTAGGCATCCAGGTCGTAGTAGGTCGT